CTTAAGTTCTATGTCTAAGCCAGTACTCCCCTGCTTTTGTGTAAAAATTCTGTTCCTCAGGAGGATTTCACAATATTTGCAAATACCATTCTCCACCCTGCTTCGTCTCTGTCATCTTTTGGTTTCCTGACTACTAGCTCAATCCCTATTTAGCTCATCAAAATCTTATTCCTGTCCATGGTTTTTGTTAGGGGAGTGGATGCTCTGGGTCTGGGTGTGCATGCTGGTTGAAAAGTAACAACCTTTACACCAAACATGAAAGCAAGTGAGTGCGGATTTATTGAAGCAAGCGGAAAGAATTCCTGACAGCAGGAGGGGCCCGAAGGGAGGGTGCCTGTTTGCTCCAGCCTGTCTATAACTATACACTGTCTACACACTGTCAGACTTCCTGTTGCCCAATGTGTGAGACCGACCATTAGTTAGGAACGAGGTGGTCTGAAATTTTTGTGATGGTTATTTTTCTGTTCCCTAATTGTCCTGTAATTGGATCTTACTCTAGGCTAGCTCAGCAACATTTCAGTAAAACACTTCTATTTTCTTTGGCGCTGTCTCAGCCTTTCCTGTTCTCCAAGTTCTCCTGGTCTCAGTTCCTCTCAGTTTCAAATGCCATCTACAGTTGATGACTCCCAAAGTTAAATCGTCCCCTTCAGCTCCACATCTAACTAACTCTTGGGCATGGCCACCTGATAACTCTTGCTCTTTCCCGACTCAGTGGGTGGAAAATTATCAGAAACCCAGGATTCTTCCTTGATTCCTTGTCTGACTCACACTACCTCTGGATTCTCTTCTCCTAATATCACTGAGCAAATTTTTGTTCTTCCCTTGTCACTACTTCAAAGCTCCCATTTTTGAAGGTATCCTGAATTATGCAAACAATTTCCTAACTGGTCATTCCAGTTTTAGTTGTTTTCCAAATCACCGAACTAGCAGCTTAATATGCAACCCAGTTACATAGCCCCCAGATGCTTCCCTTTATATCCAGGTTAATGTCCAAGATTCTATAGCTTACAAGACCCTTTTATGAAGGGTTCCATTTTTATGAAGCCCCACTTTCAATGCCTTATGTTGTACCATTCCCTCACTCATGTTCCATGTATACTCAACTTATTGGTTATTCTAAATTGGTTAGATCTCTCTCTTTTGCAGCTAGTTCTTTTTTTTTTTTTTTTTAAGATTTGTTTATTTATGCATACAAGAACTAGGTTGTAGGCCAAAGGTGGGGGGCGGAGAGGATTCACAAGAGAGAGGGTGGGATGCAGAACAGGCAGGTCTACTGAAATACATTGCTGAGGGGGTCTGGGGGTGACAAAGGAGAGGTTTGCAGCACGATATGGGTCCCCTGTCAGGGGACTGAACTCTTGCTGCAGTGGCTGGCTATAGCTTGATAGCGCTGTGTCTTTAACCTCTGCACCACCTGCAGCTAGTTAATTCTTATTTTTGTTGTTCAACTTATCTCAGGAATTTGTCCTGAAGAATCTTTCAGTGTGAGAGTAGCTGACTCCTCTTGTTCTCTCCATAGCTTGCCCTTACTAATGTCGTAAAGGCTTTAAGTTTTATTATTGGGCTCTAAGTTTTTATCCAAATTCTTTTCATATTCCCAGGATTTAGTGCAGTGCTATGGGTGTTGAAAAATCATAGTTGTGAGTAGGTCCTGTGCTATACTTCAAGGTTAAGGTTTACTTAGTAGCACTTGCTTAAGTGTGATAATGAAAAGAAAAGGAGGATGGAATGATATTGAATTTAGGAGGGAATTTGAATTCACTGAAGTTGCTTTTAACATTGTTGAGATTCTGCACGTTTGCAGACTGAAATAAAAGACATAATTGATAGGAGAGATAAGAGAGACTGCAGATGAGAAAAGGGTATAAAATAAGGTCACTTGGAAAGGTGGAAAGGTTTCACCAAGAACAATTTTTTAATCTTTAGTGATTTATAATCTTTAGTGATCTATTAGGTATTTGTCTCATGAGCGTTGAGTTCAATTATCTCAAAACATTTTTCAAATGAGGCATTTATGGCATGATTTTTGCTTATTTAACAGAACTTTAACCTTCCTTGGGACTGGGATATGAAGTGTACTTAAAAGAAATGAAAAATTAAAATTTACTAACAGAAATTTAAGGTGTAATACAGTTAACATTACTGGAATGGTGGGTATGTTTTCAAAGTGTATGCCCAGTATATGATGACATTTAAGAAAGGGCTTTACATTTACAATAAACATTATTATATTGTAACTGGGTGGTCCCTAGGAGAAGGGAAGTTACAGGTTCCCTGCCCCACCCAGAAGGAGGGTGGAACTGAGCAGAGAAAAAGGAGAGAGAAGAAGAGAGAAGGAAGACAGATGGAGAAGGAGACCTAAGGAAGCCACATGGAGCAGCAAACATGTGATGAAGAAACCGGGCTTGTTTCCTGACCCTGGACTGGTTAAGGCAGACGTGGGTGAGATACCTGTAGGAAGGTGACTATGGCAGTGTTTATATTGATTTTGATTTTGCTCTTTTCCTCCCAGACTTGTCTGGCCATTTCTGACCCTTTTCCATGGGTCCCGGCCAGAAGGTGCTTTAGTCTTGTGGCAGGCTTTCAGGCCTTGCTTTGGGCCAATCCCTTTTGGATTGACTTTTGCCCACGAGGGGATGGTTAACTTCAGGTGTTTGATTTAGAAGTTACTTTCTTTGTGCTCCGTATTGTATATTCACTGTATTAAAGTCACTTTTCATTAAAGCTTTATATGTTTTGTCTTGTTGCGGCGGATGGCAGAACCCACTTAGAGCAGGCAGGTTTTGGGACTTCAGGAGTGCCTCTCTCTGAATTGAGGTGCCCTATAACAATATGTCTGTATACACACAATTGTTGTCTTAAATAATTTTTGAATATTGCATTCTGATTAATTGAATATTCTGTTTTTAATAACCATTTTACATGAAATCTGAAATGTTAATAAAAAATGCTTAGATTTTAGAATAGCTTATGTTAAATCTACATAGTACCAGAAAGGAGTTTAGGGTCTCTATCATCACTGTCGACTCCCACAAAGAGTATGAAGAGACATTTATTCTATATAAAGTATTCTTTGGATAGAACACAGAGGGATAGAGATTTTGAGGAGAACTCCTGCCTTTTAGAAGGTTTACTTCCTATAATAGAGTTCCAATTAACCAAAAGTATGTGATTCTTTTTTAGAGCTGATGTTACAGATATTTTACTTTGTTTTTCATTTTTAAAACTCTTTCATATCTTCATTTCATTTGTGTTTTAATATTTCCTAATTTTCAAAACTACCTGTGCTTCATAGATAGACAGTGCCAAGTCGGATTGCTCTGCCCATAGCAGCTTGCATCATATATTTATGGAACTGAAATGAACAACTTTTCCATTTTTACCTCCTGTGTTTTAGCAGTTGGCAAAATAGAAAAATCAAACACACATTTAGAGGAGAGGACTGTTGAGTAAAGTAGGGCAAGAAACGTTTTAAAAAATCTAAAGTTTACTACATAAATTACATACTAGTTAGCTATCTTTCATATTCATTTCCACAACTGGTCATTGAAACTGCTTTAGAAATATTTAGTATATTTTAAAAGCTTCTTTAATAACATTCCTAGTAAGTGGATGTAGGATTATGTATTTATTTACTACTAACACATATGAACAGCAGATAACAGAATTATCATTAACTCTAAATAATTCCAATGTAAATGTTTTCTCTCACTGTGTTCATATTGTTCTGCTGCATGAGTATGGAAAACAGCAGATCGTATCCATGATCATAGATTTTAAATATTTACTTGCTGGTGCTGCATAATTTAGCACACTGTAGTTGGAAAGCAGCTTGTATGGTAGCTGATGCCATGTCTGTATTGCAGTACATAATCTCCCTTGATGATGTCTATGTGGAGTTGTGAAAAATGAAAAACATTCTACTCTGTTTTACTAGTCAATTAAAAATTGTTTACTGTAAATTCACAGAAAACCAGTGTTTGTGGTGTACACACAATTTTATTTTGCATAGATACCACACAGTTTCTTTCAGAATCCAAGTTTTGTTTCTCATAACCTAGTAAGTCACAGCATCAAAAATGAACTGTTAATTCTTGTAATCCCAAGTCCTGAAATGAACATCCACAGTGTCAAGTTTAATTGTGAACTTTTTTTTTAACTCTGCATTCTGAAAGCTTTCCTTCTCCATGTGGTTTCAAAGTTCTGTAGTACAGACTGCTAATTTTTCACTTTAAGCTTTTATGAAAATTTTCCATTCAATCCAGGAGCATTTCTGGCAATCTTTGTTCCAAAGCAATTTTGCAGTGCTAGAAAATAGTACAGGGTTACATTGTGCTGTCATTTAGTATTTCTCTCAACACCCTGTAGAAGTAAGGACACACATTTCGATTCATAAAAAAAAAAAGTTTGCGTACTGTCTTGTGTTTCAATCCTTGAAAATAATCTGAATGTGGAAAATGAAAAAACACACTACTTGGTATTTTCTAAGTATTTATCTTCTGTAGTCCTAAGTACAGCTTAATTTGGAGTAACCTTGACAACAGGATAGAAGGGAATACTAGTATTTTAACCAAAGTGGAGCTTGGTAGGAAGGTGTATTATCACTATAAAGGTATTAGAGTCTTCTGAAATCCCAACTGGAGCTGTGTGTGCTAGCTAAAAGGAGGGGGCATTGCATGCTGGATCTTGTAGTTTCTGAGCTTGAGAAGAGGGAGTGTTTAATAGCATGCTGGGAGTTGAAGTTTCATACACAACAGGAAGTCACGGTAGGCATAAAGCGGTTTGTCTAACGGAGACACCCCTTTATAGATGGATTTTACCTTGGCTCCGCGCTCGAGTATTAGCGAGTTAACCGTTTGGGATGGCGAACGGCTCAGAAAAAGGGATGGATGAAGTAACCGGAGTAGGCGGGCGCCTGTAAGGGATACAATGGTTACAGCCAAACGAGTCTTGAGTGCCCCGGAAGTACTGATTTAGTGAGTTTCACGGGGTTGTCATTCCTCTTATTACGGTGGCCGGGAGTTCTCAGTGCCTGTGGCTGCGGCGCTGAGGTTGGAGTGTCTGTGTGTGCGGGCTGCTTTTGTGGCGGTTGCTGCTAGAGCTGGATCATTTCCCGGGTTGGTGGCTCCTGCACATCGTTTAAACTACTCCAGTTCTGTTTCGGGGAAGGGTCAACTGGATGCTAGCGGAGTCAAGAGAAGGTTGAGGCTTAGTGTCTCTGATCCCCAAATGATCTTGTTTCTGGGGGTTCCTGCCCTTAGACGAGACCGTATGGTCAGCTCTTTGGACTCTGTGAGGGTTTTAGCGCCTCCCTTTTCTCGCCTTCCTAGTGTCATTTGACTTTTGACTCTTCGCCCGGTCCTGGGCTCCAGAGATGATAAACCGTAAGCCTTCCTGCGGGCAGCTGTTTCTCTTCTTTTGGCTTTTCTTAGGTGGTTCAGAGACGTTCCCTAAGCTATCACATCTGTTTAATTCTTTCCCTATTTCTCTCCGTTAGAAAGAATAAGGCTTCCCCCCGCCCCCGTATCCCCCACCGTCCCCAAGTAGGATCCCTGAGATCTGAATCTTCTCATTCCTAACCCCATTCCTTCTTTTTGGTCTGTGTTACTACTTTAGATCTTAAGGCACTTGGCTGAATATCTAAATGCTTATCTTTCCAGACATTAACATTGTGCGATGACTTTATTCGGTTTTCGCTTACCCTCAACTCCTCCATCTCCATCCATATCTAAGAGTATATTAGGTTGGAGGTTTGAATATGTCATTAAATATAATGACTGACTACGAGAGATCTCAGTCTTCAGCGTGTCTGAATATTGAGTTTCTATTAAGATTTCTCTGGTTTACATTTATGTTTTGTAGTGCCTATGTATGCTATCTTACAGGTAGAGAATACCTCGCCCTACAGTTCTTTGTATTCCATTTACTTAAGTTGTATTTCCTCCCTTTTATTCCTACTCAGATCATATGTCCTTAGTGAAAATTTTGCAATGACTTTGTTAGTTCATAGTAGATAGACACAGGAAATCCTCTTTCTTCCTTGTTAGCTTGTGATTTCTAATTGTGAGTTGTTGAAGTTACCAGAGATTGGAAAGGCTTTGAAATGTGAAATCTATGTATGTTCCAATTTGCAAAGTAACAAAGAAGAATTTCTAATTAATCCAATAATCTAGTGCTATGTTGAATTAATTACCAGTTCATTTGCTGTAAAATTTTGGCAACTGATTTTGGCAAGAGTAGGCAATACAAGAGGTTGTACAGTTTATTAAAAAGAGTTTGAAAACCATTTAACAGGTGTTCTTTTATGTAGACTGGAATGTAAATATTGAAAATTTTGTTTTAATTGTTTTGGAGGCACTTCTATGTACTTAGATAGATCTGGTAACAACAGCATTCTATAGTACTCACTGATGTTTCATAGACAGAAATTTTGTGTTTACAGATTCTTGGAGACCTTGTAACTTAAGTAAGCTTGCAGTTTCTATTCTGATTGTTGCGCTATAGAGAGTCTACAGTAAAATTAGCAATCAAATATAACCTATATATGTCAGTAAAATAATAGCTACGTGGGGATTACTCCTAATTAATCTGAAATGGTTTCAGTCATACTTAAGGTTTGGGGCTAAATGCATGATGAAACAGAATTAATTCACTCATGGAATTCTTTACATTTATCATAGATAAACAATAAAAGGTTAGACATTACTGAAATATTTTATATTTTTCCTGAGATTTTATTCATTCAGTAGGAATTTATTGAAAACTTCTACTGTTCAGAGAAAGGAAACAGCAGGTAGATAATTGATTATAGGTAGTGACTCGATTGCTTTATATATTCACTTTCTTGCATATAGTAGGTATACAGTGTTGGTTGAATTTGAAGCCAATATTTAAATGAATGATGCTATGTCAAGACCTCAGATTGGAGGCAAGGAGGAGTTGAGTAGATAACTGTAACCATAGTGGTAATGGAGGAATGAAGTGTATTTGTCAGTTGTTAGTGAAGAACCAGTGGGCTCTTTTAATAATTGAACTTGGGAGTAGAGTGGTGACCAAAGGGGGGCGGGTAGATGACCAGGTTTGAATGTAGTGGACTAGAAGGTATGTAGATTTGCCTATTTCATTAAATTGCAATATGGATCAATATCTTATGAAGTACTATGAAAAAAATACCAGTTAGACAAAGATTGTTGATGTAAGCTATATTCAATTTCAGAGTTAAAATATCAATATGTGTGATTTAGAAATGATGAAACAGGGTACTTTCTATGATTGTTAGCATTATAACCACTTTGTTTTGTACTATTAATAAGTTTTTAACCTTTGACATGCATTCAGTCACTTAGCATTTATTTATTAACTGGACACTCTTTAAGGTCACAAGTATAGTGGTGAATATATATGGTTTCTACCCTCATGGAACTACTGAATAACAGGGGAAGCAGACGTAAATCAAATAGTCTATCAAAGAAATTTAAAGTTGCAGCTATTTTTAGTGCTATAAAAAAGGACCTTGATGTTACAAAGAGGAAAAACTGATTACAAAGGGGATAAAAGTATGGATGTAAAAGATCAAATTAGAGATGATAATATTTTAGACAAGATGGTAGTGAAAATAGAAGTGGGTGGATTTTAGCGGTGTTTAGGAAGTGAAACTGAGTGATAGATTGGGTCTGAGGAATGAGGGAGAGGAAGCTCTTTAGTGAGCAGGGATGCTGGTCTAAGATAAAAACATTTGGAAATATGTTCAGATTTATTCAGTATTTTTTATATAACATTCTCAGCCACGTTTCTAAATTATAACATAGTTATATATAATCTTTATTTTCACTTAAGTTTTGGAAGCAAATTGGGTATTTCATTCACTTGATATATATATATATATATATATGAAAAATGTGCTAGCAAAAAAGTCATACTTTTGATTTATCTGAAATATCTCTGTGTAACTTTTGATAGAGGTGACTCAATACAACCAATTTATTGTTTAAATTATACATTTCATAGTAAACAGTAACTGCATGTAGACTTAGCGTAAGGGGCATGGGCTTTGATCAGACTGCCTGGATTCAGGGTGTATTTGCTATTTATTTGTAGGACTTAAAAACCATTTTTAATTTTTGTGTCTATAAATGTGGGTAATACCAGTGCCTTATAAAATTGTGAGGATTAAATGAGATCCAATATGTGCTTATGTTAACAAAATTTCTGACAGAGTATGAATTTGCTGTTATTATAATGATATGGATCTGAGCATCTGAATTTTTGTGACAACATTGTAATTTTATATTTACTTATAATTAATAAATCTCATCTGGAGAAAAATTTGGTATCACACTTGGAGAAATCCAAATCATATCAAATGAATTAATTTTGCTTATTTACTATATTCTAGATAAGTCAGCACATGTTATTTTTCATATAATTCTCCTCAGAGTAGCAATAATAGGAAATTAATTGTAGATTGATTTGTAATTACTTTATTTTTAGTCAAATTTCTCTGAACTTTTATGTGCTTTTAGTTATGCTTTCTTTTATTTACAGTAGTCCTTTTCTTTTTTTCTTTCTTTCCTCCTGCCTCATTCCCCTCCCTCCCTCTCTCCCTTCCTCCTTCCCGCCCTCTCTTCTTCTCTTTTTTTCCCTTTGTTTTTTTAAGTCCAGGCCAATTGTTTTGTAGATTGTTTCACAAAAGAATTTTATTTGATTGTTTCCTTATAGTTAGTTTCAGGTAAATAGTGTTTTCAAGACTATTACACAGGAGACTAAACTTATTTCATCATACCAGGAGTGATACAATAATAGGGTATCCCATTACTGATAATATCAATCACTTAGGTTAGCCAGATTTCTGTATTCTGAAAAGTAGCTTTATTTTTTGTACTTAATCTGGAGGAGTAATATCTTGAAGTCACTGGATGTCCTGTTTTCTTACTTTTTTTTTATTAGTGGTTTTTGGACACATTGATGATGGCTGTGTAAATGAATCATTTTATTGATGGTTGCTAAATAGTGGCTTTCCAATTCTCTAAAGTCTTCTGGATATTTCTGTTAGCTATCTCTCTAAAGAAGAATTGAATAATTCTTCCCCTCTCCTTTTATTTTATTATCACTTTGTACCCAAAGATGCTTAAAAAAAAAAAATCTGGTGTGTTATTATCTGTGACCATTATTCTTTTGGTAATTAAATTATCACAGCTTTGGTCCATCTCTTCAAGCTTTCTATATGTCCACATTGGTATTTGGGCACATCCTTACTTTCTTGTATAGTAAAATGTTCCAGACTTACTTTGCATATTCTCTATATAAGATCTAGAGTGAGCCATTGGATTACCAGTGAGTCCTGGTTTATTTTCACTGGAAATAGTACTTAGAAACCAGGATTGGCTATTGAATATGAATATTATTAATACAATATCTTAGTCTCTTTAAATGGACACACACATACTTTTTTTTTTTAAAAAATCATGGATTCATATGCTACTTTCAATTCAAATTTTTATCTCCTGACAGCATGGAGAATTCTGATTTTCAACCACATCATATGTGGTAGAAATTACTTTTACTCATCTAATCTGTCTAGTAACACACATACAATAGTTTTGAAATTACTGTGTTGATATTCCCTGTCTGACAACAGATATACTAGAAATGACTTATTTGCTATTTCATGTCCTTCAAATATATCCCACTAAAGATGTAAAGTCAAGGTAGGTGTCCAGAGTTACTGGGATATTTTTGTAATCAGTATAAAATACAGTTAAGTTCCTACTAAGCTACTTTTGAAAAAATAATATAATGGTTCCTACTAAGCTACTTTTTATTAGACGCTGTACAATACCTGTAAAGCTATGAAGTAGATGTAATAGTATAAAGTTTTATCATAATTTATAGTTATAAGAAACTAGAGCAGTTATATCAAATAGGAAATATGCAGCTTTTATCTTTTTAAAACTTTAAAGCTGTAACTCTGTTTTCAAAATGTTATATTATCTAAAATTAGAAATGATGACAAAAATATCAAACAGTTCCATTTCTGTGCCAAAACAATTGTTTGTGAATGTTTTAAACAGTGTCCTCCTTTTGATTCATGATAACAATTCAAGCATTAATCTTAACA